GAAACTTAAAAATCTAAGGAAGAATGAACTGGATTTGGATAGGTGGTATTCAGAGAATAAAGAATAGGCCTAATATGGGGGGAATTTTGTGAACAAATAGAATGAGAGTATAAATAAACCATATAAGTTGGAAAATAAAAAATCTACTAGAAGCTATTTTAGGAAGATGGATATGGACAAGTTGTAGATGTCTTTCAACACAAAGATAAGGCTTTGAGACTGACTTGTAGATGTGGGCTTTCCAACATTTATAATGGAGAAGCTTATGAATGATTTTATAAAAATTGCATAATACAGTACTTGGAAGAAAGTAAACATTCAATAAATATTAGCTAGTATTAGCAATAATAGCAGAAATGACTGTAGTATTTCACTGTATGGATGTGCTGTATTTGTGTATTATTAGCTAATTAGCCATTAATGAATACTTAGGTTATTAAATTTGCTATTGGATGATAGTCATAAGTTACACAGGGGATGATAGAAAAAAGATAATTATACCAGCTCCAATATACTCCCCTTTGCTACGAAATACCATCAACACTTGTGGCAACAAGATTATGTTATTAGCAGCCAGTAAGAATGTTGTTCAAGCATACTTATTAAAAACTTATTAGGGAGCATTTCTCTGAGTTGTAAGATTAAAAAAAGAAGAAGAAAAATTAGAGGGATTTTGGAAAGGTAATTTGGCATACAGAGCAAGATAATGAGATGAGACCAGAGCTGTTTACTTTATGACATATATGAGACTGCTGGTCAAAGAACCCCAAAGGAAATGTGAAGACAAAACTTGGGAGATTTGGGGGCATTATGGACCAACAAGGGAAGAATATATTTCTAAGTTTCTAAACCTTATTGACAGCTAGGCAGAGTAATGTGTATCAGTATTCCCAGCTACTTGGGAGGCTAAGCCAGGGAATCACTTGTGCTTGAGAATTCAGGGCCAGCCTATGCATCTAGTGAGACCCTATTTCAAACAAATCAAACAGTGAAAAGCAAATAAACTTTGGTGACTTGAAAATTGTGATCAAAATACTAAACTTGGAATGGAAAGTCAGTTTTGGAGGGAATTTTGTCAGTTCAGTTTAAGGATCTTTGAGAAAAGAATTAACCTATTAAATATTTGGATAAGATTTAGATTTTAAGTCCTTCTATATGGCTGTGATTTTGAAACCATAATGAAAATGAGCGAGTTCAAATAATTTCACAGTTAATAGTAAATGACAAAGTTGAGATTCAAATCCAAAGTTCTTACTCTTAGCTCCTATGGGGGAAGTCTTATTTACGTTTACAGTGGCACCTCAGTTCACAGACACTTTTGTTTGCAAACAGTTTAGTTCACAAAATCGTGGCAGAATTTGGTGTTTGTTTGCAAACTACATCCAGTGACAAACACAACCACAGCCATCTTTCCTGTACAGACACAAACATGGCCGTCTTTTTCAAAATCATGGAACAAATTAAGTTCCTTAACTGAAGCACCACTGTATTGTCATATATTTAGTCTTCTCATTTACCAAGTTCTTTTACTATTTTGCCTTTTATTTATTTATTTTTATCTTTTTCTGGGTAATCTTTGTTTTGTGTAATGAACAATCTGGAGTCATATTTGGCCTTAAAGGCAGGCATTCCTGGATTTATCCCAGCTCTGTCATTTATATCTTACCTGTGGACTCCCTTAGTTAATCCCTAAACCCAATGGCCTTTTCTTAGTTCTAAATTTCCTTGGTAGGCTCACAGCAAAGAAATTCTTCCTAAAGTCTAGATTTCTCTTCAAATAATTCTCTATCCTATCTTCTTAGTTGTTTTACTTTTCTTCTGTATCAGTACACTCACATGTGACTTATTTCTACATAGCTCTGAATTCAGCTCTCTGTTCTTTTTTAAAAATATGTCAATCAGGCCAGGAATGTAGCTCAGTGGCACAGTGCTTGCCTGGCAAACGCAAGGACCTGAGTTCAATTCCTGGTACCAAAAAAAAAAAAGAGAGGAAAAAAAGACTTTAAAAAATGCCCCTTAAAAAAATAATAAAAATATGTCAACTAACCATGGATTCTGAGTGTGTTTCCTCTTCAATAACACTTTTTTTCTAGCCTCTCTTTTCTGTCTTCCTAGTCTTTTTTTTTTTTTTTTGGTACTGGGGATCAAACTCAGGCCTAGTCTTATTTCAAGCCTTTTTAGTTTTTCTCTGCAACTTTGTAGGCCTAGTCCTGTCATTGCTGATCAAGCTTCCCTCCTATCTCCCAGTGTCATTCTTTGAAAATACAAATCTATTCTTTCCTCACTGCTTACAACCCTTTGGTGATCCTCCCTTGTCAGTGGTGCTATTTCTTAAGTTATTTCTTAGGATGAATTAGGCATTTCTTTAGGGGAAAAAAAGAGGTTCAGTGCTACATGGAAGAAACTTAAGGAAAAGGGATGTCAAATGAGTTTGAGAAATACTTGACCAAACACAGCTAGCCTCCTTTTTGGTTAGATGTGCTGGTGTGCCTTGTAAATACACGCAGAGCAGTATGTAACATTTCCCACATGTACCTGACCATGGCATACTTTTTAAAAAAGTGTGTGTGTGTGTGTGTGTCTAATGGTTCGGAACAGGTTTTATTAAGACCTATACAAGACAAAGTATCCTAGGATCCTTTGAATTTAGATTTTATCTATATAGTCTCCCCCTGGCTTTATGGACTTGGAGTTCCCCAAACATACTTGGAGTCATGTATTTCAAGGCTTCAGTGGTTTCACTCATCTGTTATGAGAAACTCCTACTATCTGAAGCCACCATCGACTGATCCAGGCAGTTGTTATATTTCCTTTCTTTTTTTTTTTGGTACCAGGCATCAAACTCGGGACCTTGTGCTTGCAAGGAAGGTGGCAGAACCACTGAACTAAATCCCCGGCCCTGTTATATTTGCTTTCTAAGCACTCTTCTTACGGTGTACTTGGCAAGACCCTACTTTTTATTTTTTATTTTTTATTTTTTTTTGCTTTGCAAGCACAATTTGTAGCAAGTTTTGAATTTTTTTTTAAATTCTTTTATTGGTACATTCTAGGTATACAATACGTTTACATTTATCATTGGGTGCTTGTACCTGTACATGATGTATCTTGGTTCTTATTTTTTCCCCATT